ATTAATTAAATGTTTTAATATATATTATTATAACTCATGATAAATGCTATAATATATTTATGTTGTAGCATTTTGTTGCTGTTGTATCAGATTTAGTTATAGCTCTTGATTTATGCTGTAATATATTGTTTTGCAACATTTTTTTATAATTGTTATTTGAATAAAAAACGAAACTAAATGTTTTATTTAAATGAATATTTTGTCAAATATATTGAAATTGAATTATACAGTTATAAAAGAAATAAAAAACAACAATAAAAGCAAAAATTAAATTATAATTTCATTCAAACTTACTAAAACATCTCTTTCTTTATAATACACAAACTATTACTAAAACATCTCTTTCTTTTTGTTATTTCGAAATCACCAAACCTAAAGTCTCAAACTCCCTCTCGACCTTTGATCAAAATTCTTATTAGGACAGACCAAGAAGCAACAAAACTCCTGTTAAGTTCCATGGCAGTGACACCTTTCATAAACCTTGAATCCACGACTCTTTCTCCTTCCTCCAGCCTTCTTGAACTTCCTTCAACTGGACCAAATATATGGCTTTGTGCGATTGTGTGCAGCAGGAGCAGGAACGAAATGCTTCACAGCTTCACGTGAATTCTTAGGTCCTTTAAGAAGAGCCTATAACACAACAACACAAAAAAGTGTATAAATTGAATTTTACCAAGTTAAAATTCCACTACCTAACCAAAAGAGATTGATAACTTATCTTATCAGTATATTTGTTATAAAGTTTCAACCGATTACTCAGATTATATATAAATCTAGAATTTCAAAGTCCCAAATCAACAACAACCTAGGGATACTAATCAATAAGATAAAGCGTTAAGGATCAAGACATTGAGACCTTATGAAGTAACTTGCTAGAACCGTACCACTAGCCTTGAGCTGTGTCTTTTCTACAACATCATTTGCTTCCTCAACACATACAGGGACTTCCTTTGTTGGAGAAGCCACTGCAAAACCCATCACAGATGCAAAATCAAACAAAGGAAGACTAATCAAGAAACAATCAAAATTAATAGCTGAATCCGATTTCAATGAAATCAACAAATCGACAGGAATCAAAGTGTTAGAGAGGTTAAATGAAATCGAGATCCTAAGAGGAACAATATGCAAAGAAGACAGATTCAATCACTCACCATAATCGACAGGAATCCAATAAGTAACGGAAAAATGAGGAAGACGACGCCATGGAACTTCAGCGACGACGTGCATGGTGTTGAGTTGCGTAGGTTCGCCGGTGAACGGAGCGGGAGATGGAACAAGTGAACGAAACGAAGAGAATCAATAACCCTAATTTTTAAGGTCGTGAAGAGAGAGCAGAAGCAAAACTTTGGAGATTTTGTTTGGTGAAGAGAGATAGTGACCCTAAATCTGACGGCATATTAATCTTTGATTATGATATAACGATTCCTAATATCATTGTAAAGTATGTCATTGATCGCTGACGTGGCAATAAAATAATTGTACAAAAACAATTTTATTCGTTCCAATTTACAGAGTTTGTGTTGAACAAACAATTTGACACAAAATAAATACACGAAACAAACAAATTTGTGAGAAAAAATGCAAACAGTTTTGTTTCATCTATCCAACAATCAAATAAGCAAACCAATTAGATAAAATATTTGTAAACTTATGTTCAGCACATGTGATCAATACTAATACAGGATAATTTTTAAGTTTAGCAAGGGTTAGAGTTCATAATTTCGAATTAGGGTTTAGAGTATATGAATTAGAAAATGATTAAAGTTAAATTTATTACAAAATTCTATATCCTTAATAGAAAAACTCATTAATCTATAAATTTTTATTATATTTATGTGGTCAATAACACTAAAAATGTAATTCAAACCATGTACCCCATATCCTTATACCCTAAACCTCAATTGTTAATAACACTAAAAAATTATATTTCAAATCTTATACCCTATATTCTTATACTTATATTATATCAATTGTTAATAACACTAAAAAATCATATT